TTTCTGAACCTGGCTTTGAATAGTGTTTATGATCTCATCGTAGTTAGTGAGGTCCGCGCAGTGGCTGTCTAGGCCGATCATATTCAGAGTAGCAGTGGGGTTCAAAGAGCCATGAAGATGGAAGAACTCGTTATCATTCTGGGTCCGATACATACTGGCAGCCATGCGCCGGTACGGATTCGATTGTGCAGCATGGATATCCGTATCTTCATGTTGTCAAACCCCGCTCCCTGCACCATGGAAAAGACAGCGACTTGTCTCACCTTTCAAGTACCTTTTGACCTCGGGGTCAGACCGAGAGTATCCATCGATATTGGTGACTAGTGCCTGAAAGCCAAAAAGCGTTGCCCTTTCAAGGTTGATTGTAGTCTTTCGTTCATGTGGCTTAGTTTCTGATTGTAGATCCGCTATCAAAGCTGCCAGGGCCCCTTCTATCCCTTTGAGAGCGGCCAGGGTCTCAGTGACCTTGAAAGGGATCGGATAGTAAATCGTATCTGAATCAGAATAAAATTGTACTTGGCTAGTAAGAATATCGACCGGAAGACCGAGGCGTTCCGAGTTCTGACGCAGAAGGTCGAAAATCCTTCTTGCCTCTTCTGAGGGCCGATACATGTTGCTAGTTACCGGTGAAATGAACGATGCAGTTCGGTATAGAGCTAGCAGAATTAAGTTCTTGTGTTTTTGCTGACTGGTGTCCGCAATCCATCTACACATCAATGTATCAAGGCCTCATAAATAGCCTCAAGAATCAGTGTCTCATGTTTAACCCAAGTCACCGGTATCCGAGGCATGTGAGATGGGCACAATCCCTTGCATAGATTATCATCTCATCGTCTCCTCTCACGAGTCTGACTCCGACCATCCTCGAGTGACCGTACCGAAACAATGCAACTATGACATAGTACTGGTTTTATCAGGAAGGGAGTGCCAATGCTTCCTACAGTATCAATGGATGGATAACCGATCGCCCCTCGCTGATGCAATCCGTTGTCCCACATCCAAAATGGGAACCAGTACAGAGAAGATGTAATAGAACCGAATAGGAGACAAGAAAAGCGGGGTTCTCGGCATTTGCCAACCCTGAGGTAGTACGGAGAATGTTACCTCATACAAAGGATCTGTGACGCTGGTCTCTAATTATAGAGAGATTGGGTCCGATGATGTGCGTAATCACCTTCCTGGATAGTTTATCCGAGGCGATACTTTGGCTATACAAGGACAAGCAAAATGAAAGGCAGATCGTCACATATTTGCCAGGAGGATCCTGCCATGAGTGGGCTTGCGCATCTTTCCAGCCCGCATTCTGATTCCAGCCATGTCATCTTCCCATGCGATCCATTCGCAAGCAAGATAAAATCAGAAAATGTGGTTGCTTAATCTTTCTATGTATGTCGAGATGTATAAAATGGCATGTCTAGATGCATGCTTCCGGGATTTGCCAAACAGTCGCATCGAACACTTCTTTTCTTCTCGGTTCTGGCACAAAGTTTTGTCATATCTCTTCACATTCATTTGAGCCCTGACTTAATTATTTACATTATTTACTCACACAATGACGGCGATTTCTTTGATAGACATTCTCCGCAAAGCAGCAGAATACCAAGGGCTTCGTGGTGTCTGTGCTTACCCTCCTGGCTATTCTGGGATCGGCTCTCCCACGAGGTTGAGTTACACAAAGCTCGACTCGTTGGCCACAACTAATGCCATACAATTACGCCGGCTGCAGTGCGACACCAAGTCTCCTGTCATACTCCTTCACTTTGAAGACCATCTGGACAATATCATATGGTTATGGTCTGCCTTATATGCAGGTTGCATCCCTGCAATGTCCACTGCTCTACCTCGAAATGAAGATCACCGGATAAGACATCTCTGTCACCTAAGCGAGCTGTTCGAGAATCCTATCTGTCTAACTCGGAGAAGCCTCCAAGACCAGTTTCCAAAAAAGGCTCCTTTGCACGTTGTGACCGTAGAATCCTTGAGTGATCCACCAGCCGACTTTGCCGCTACTACAGAAACCAATTCCAGAGTACCCATTGGCCGCGGTGGCTGGAATCCTGCTTTGTTGATGCTCACATCCGGAAGTACTGGTCTACCCAAAGCTGTGTCCTTGACGCATAATCAGATCTTGGCTTCCCTTCAAGGGAAAACCCAATGCTTACGCGTTGATGGCACTGGTCACTCGTTTCTGAACTGGATTCGTCTCGACCACGTGGGAAGTTTAATCGAGATCCATCTCCATGCACTATTTGTCGGGTGCGATCAGGTTCACGTCCCATCCGACGAGATCATTTCTCGCCCAGCCTTGTTCCTCGATCTCATAAGTCGACATCGGGTGGTTAGAACATTTGCACCCAATTTCTTCCTCGCTGAGGTTGGCCGCTATTTGGAAGCCCCCGGACGAGAAGATGAACCTCACTTTGACTTGAAATGTCTGCGATACATTGTGTCTGGTGGGGAGGCTGTTGTTGTCAGTACCGGTGCAAAAGTGTCGCGATTACTGGCCCAACACGGCGCACCTGAAAATGTCATCATCCCTGGATTCGGCATGACCGAGACTTGTGCAGGGTGCATCTATAGTTTGGAGTTTCCTGCACATGACACTTGTAACAACAACGAATTTGCTGCTCTAGGCAGATGTGTTACTGGCGTTGAGGCACGAATCGTCTCCATAGCGACGGATAGTATTCTCGCGTGTCCAGGAGAAGTAGGCCACTTGGAACTCAAAGGCCCGCTTGTATTTTCTGGTTATTACAACAATCATACAGCCACCAACGAGGCCTTCAGTCCAGATGGCTGGTTTCGAACCGGGGATACAGGCTACATAGACACAGATGGCAGAATCAATCTGTCCGGCAGGACGAAAGAATTGATCACTGTCAACGGCGTCAAATATGTTCCGCAGCAGTTGGAAGCCGCTATAGAGGACGCCAAAATACCGGGGATTGTTTCCGACTGTGTGATATGCTTTCCATTCCGTCCCAGGGGTGCAGACACAGAGAGACCTTGCGTCATATACCAGCATAGCTACTGCGTTAGAGATGCCAAAGCTAGGTATGAGACGATGACTGCGATAACGCACCGCATTACAATGATAACAAATGTGCGCCCGTATATTCTGCCTCTACAAAGTATAAAGCGCACATCCCTGGGGAAGCTTCCTCGTTCTAACCTGCAGCGGGAAGTTGCAAGTGGCCATTACAAAATGGAAGAAGCTACTAACAGAGACATGATCAAGAGATATCGACAATCAATATACAGACCACCCGGGTCCCCGACCGAGCAAGCAATCGTGGAAGAGTTAGCAGAACTCTTATCCGTACCTCAAGAAGACATCGGAATCGACACCGACCTTTTCGAGCTTGGCCTTACCTCATTAACGCTTATCCAGCTTCAACATGGCTTGCGGTCGAGACTGTCACTGAATGAGCCAATCCCCCTCGCCACGATGATGGCCCACAACACCGTCCGTGGTTTATCTGAAACATGCCAACATCACCACCAATACATCCCAGCTGTCAAGCTCCAGCCCAACGGCAACAAAACTCCTCTATGGCTCATACACCCCGCCGCAGGCGAAGCTCTCATATTCATCAACATGGCCAAGCTCATCACAGACAGACCCGTGTTCGCATTCCGTGCCCGCGGATTCCACCACAAGGAGCCATACTTCACCAGCATCGACGAATGCATCCGTACCTACCACTCCGCCATGAAGAAGCTCCAACCGAACGGCCCTTACGCTATTCTCGGATACTCCTACGGAACAATGCTAGCATTCGAACTTGCCAAGTACCTCGAGAAACAAGGTGATCAAGTTCAATACTTGGCTGGACTTAACCGCCCTCCATATGTTAGTCCAATCCTGAAGAAAGTTACATGGACTGACTGCCTGCTTAACATTTCTTACTTTCTCGGCCTTCTTTCTCGTGATTCGTACCGGTCTCTCATCACGGAGCTCTCTGGACTCCCGAAACAAGAAGCTTTGGCCAGAGTAATCGAGGAAGTGGACCCAGCTCAGCTTGTCGCATTGGGTTTGGATAAAGGCGGCCTCGAGCAATGGATAAACGTTGCCTTCAGCCTACAGGAGATAGGAAGAGATTATGAGCCGAATGGAGTGGTGAATGCCCACATGGATGTTTTTCATTGCACTCCATTGGAGTTTTTGAATGTCACACCTGAAGAGTGGAAGAAACGTCTAGCTGCTTGGGATAACTTTTCAAGGCAGAAGGTTGAATTGAATCATGTGCCAGGTGACCATGCCAACGTCTTGGGACCGGACCATGTTCAGGTGTTTGTGAAGCGGTTGAATGAGGCAATGGCGTTGCAGGGTCTTTAGTACTTAGTCTCTCTGTCTTCACTTGAAGCGGTGTAGTGGCAGTATGTGAGTTTATGTGCTGTTATCTATATAGCAAACACCTGCTACCTTTTTTTTTTTTTTTTTTAAAAAAAAAAAAAAAAAAAAAGTTACCTGAAGGTCAATGGCCGTTGAGATTTGCAAAGAACAGTAACGGGGAAGAGTATGGCGAACCGCAGCCGCGCGATGAAACCTCCCCCCGGTTGGAGTGCAATGATGTCCTACCAAACTTGTTTACTTGTGAACTGTGCCCAAGTAATCAATTGTTATTGTGTGAAGACTGTATTGTCTACATAGATCTATGTAAATGTTTCGGTCTCAGTATGTGGTGGAGAAGTCGAAGATCACAGGTCTTCGGTACTGATCACTTCTCTTTAGGACGATAAAATGGGTGAGCTCAGTGTCACTATTTAGTCAAGCTACGGAGATGTGTATGTCAGATGAATATATGTCTTTGTCTAATTTTGAGTCTCAATTCTAGCAATTCGAAACATGCAATTTGAAGTTTCCAAAGTTGCACATATTATATATAAAATGGGGATATAAGGTATTGCACATGTTTTCTAATTCATGTACATAGAATTTCGATCAGTTGACAGCCTATCTCGAGCACTTTGAGAAAGGTATATACACAGCTGCCGACTTAAGCACCGGTCTTCTCAAGGAATTTAGTCATTGTTGCCAAGAAAATAGCCTGAGCGTCTTCCAGGTTCCAATTCTTACCCAGCCGATAAGGAACATGGACTGTATTAGGAGTTTCAAGCACTTCAACCTTATTATCCTTTTTCTTTAAGTTCTCTGTAAACTTTATGATATTATCATAGAAAACTTCTGATGTACCAGCATTGACAAAGACCAGGATATCCAGCTGAGTCTCATTTCTTAGGAATATAATCCAGGAATTACTGCTATCCCACCTCTCAGGCGTAAAAGTCTTCCGGCCCCAGTCAAGGAAATTCTGTTTGACAAAGTCAGTGTTATAATTGCGGTTCGGGAGCATATTCTTAATAGATTCAGTGCTCAGATTAATCTAAGGAGACAATAAAACTGTACAGCAAGGTAATGGAAGCGCCGGATTCTCCTCATTAATGTAGCGGAGCAGTGCCACGATAAGATTACCACCTGCAGAGTCGCCAGCGAATGCAATCTAAGATACTGGAATCTTGAGGACCTCGAGCGCATAAACATAGGCAGTAATTCCATTCTGGAGAGCAGCAGAGAATGTGGTTTTCTTATCCCAAGACAAGCGGTACTATATAGCAAATACTAACTATCCGGATATTTTATACAGTTTATCAAAACCTATATTACTGGTTTCCCCGGGACGATTACCGAACATCACATAAGCACTCGGGTAGAGTGAATAGTCGCTGTAGAGATTTAGCTGGGGCCTCCGGGAACCAGACAGCCCCAATAGATAAGGGCTCAACTCCCGGAACTGAGCAAGTGATTCCCTTGTGGACTTCGGATTGGGTCTGTTGTTCTTGGCTTTCTTCTTTGGTCTGGGTGGTGATGGTCTTCTGGGGTTTGAGCACAATGAATTGATCTCCCAATGAGCCTGCTTCCAGTGGCTTTGGCCAGAGTTTCTGAACCGTCGTCCAATAATTCCTAAGTCTTGAGGAGCGTTCTACAGCAACGAAAGCAGCAAACGAACAAAACAAACAGAAGTTAATAATAAAAATTTCTTTATTTGAAGTTGTAATCAAAGTTACTATTCTCAATTCTAATTTAATCAACCTGTTAGAAGCTGGCTTTTATATATTAATTATAATTAGATTTATTGACTGTTAAATATATTTAATTTAGAAATATATTATATAATAATATCCAAAGTATCTGTAAGATAATTATTATTAATATAAATAATATCTTTGTTTTTCTTATTTATCTTTCTAGTAAGTTCTTGGATTAACTAAATAATCTCAATTAAAATAAAATAATTTCGAACCATGTCTTTTCAGTCAGTATAATATATATAATAAAAATAACTTAGATAGATTTTTTTTTATAATCTTTCATAAATCTTCTAGTTAATATCATCTTCTATTTCTCTTCTTGTGGGAGAAGATAATTAAGTTCAGTTATCTCATCGGTGTATACTCTGAACATGTAAGATCCTTGTTCTAACAATGATAGATGCTGGAGGACTAGGTAGTTGTGACAACCAGTCACATGCCTGGCAGAACTTAGTGAATTGAAGCTTATAAAGATGCGCGTTCTGAGTCTGTTGACTCAGAATTCTTGTCTTTTACTGGATAGTCTAGTGGAATAGATAGCCAGATGATTCACTCCTGAAGCGCACCAGGCGGGATCATGACAGTAGTCGCATTCCTTCCAGAGATTAGTTCTCCTCTAATTTGATACATAGAAGTTCCGGTAAACATCATGCCATCGGCTAGCAACACTGGAGCTTCTACTTATTACGAAGAACATGGAAATGGCGGTCGCGGTGGTCGCGGTGGTGACCGTGACCGTGGCAGACGCGGTGGCTGGAGACCCAGAAGATGCCGGTTTTGTGGCCGCGGGGGCCATTCAATCGCGAACTGCTACCTATACCGCGGGATAGAAATACTAGGAGCTAGACGCGTCGCGGTCGAATGGCAACAGAGGATTCGGCGGCGCCACTATCGTCACCGCCAGCAGTATCAGCACCAGAGTCAGCACTACCAAGGCCACCATCACCATGATCACCACAACCACAACCAGCAGTATCAACACCAGCAGCATCAACACCAGCAGCATCAACACCAGCAGCATCAACACCAGCAGCATCAACACCAGCAGCATCAACACCAGCAGCATCAACACCAGCAGCATCAACACCAGCAGCATCAACACCAGCAGCATCAACACCAGCAGCATCAACACCAGCAGCATCAACACCAGCAGCATCAACACCAGCAGCATCAACACCAGCAGCATCAACACCAGCAGCATCAACACCAGCAGCATCAACACCAGCAGCATCAACACCAGCAGCATCAACACCAGCAGCATCAACACCAGCAGCATCAACACCAGCAGCATCAACACCAGCAGCAGCAGGCCCAACAGCAAGCGCAGGAGCATTCGGAACTACAAGAACAACAGGAGCAGCAGCAGGGACAGGAAGGACAGTAGAAAGAATATTCAGAAATATATATTCTCAGTTAAAAAACTATAATACAATAATAGTAGCAGGAACAGGAAAGACAGTAGAAAAGATATTCAGAAATATATATTCTCAGTTAAAAAACTATAATACAATAATAGTAGCAGGAACAGGAAAGACAGTAGAAAAGATATTCAGAAATATATATTCTTAATTAAAGAACTATAGTATAACAGCAGTAACAGGAACAGGAAGAACAGTAAAAAAAATATTCAGGAATATATATTCTTAATTAAAAAGTTATAATATAATAACAGTAATAAGAACAGGAAGAACAGTAGAAAAGATATTTAAAAATATATATTCTCAGTTAAAGAGTCATAGTACAACAGCAGCAACAGAGACAGAAAGAACAGTAGAAAGGATATTCAGGAATATATGTTCTCAGTTAAAGAGCCATAGTGCAACAGCAGCAGCAGGGACAGGAAGGACAGTAGAAAGAACATTCAGGAATATATATTCTCAATTAAAAAGCCATAGTGTAACAGCAGCAGCAGGAATATAAAAAATAATAGAAAGAATATTCAGGAATATATATTCTCAGTTAAAGAATTATAATATAATAGTAGCAGCAGGAATAGACAAAACAGTAAAAAAAATATTTGAAAATATATATTCTTAATTAAAGAGCTATAATATAATAGTAACAGCAGGAATAAGAAGAATAATAAAAAGAATATTTAGGAATATATATTCTCAGTTAAAAAGCTATAGTATAATAACAGCAGTAGAAACAGGAAGGACAGTAGAAAGAACATTCAGGGATATATGTTCTCAGTTGAAGAGCCATAGTGCGACTGTATCTCTATTAAGAATGGCATGCGCATGCGGAATAAAAAAAAAAAAAAAGAAAAAGAAAAGAAAAGGGATCGAGCCCCAGTCTGGTCACCAAGATGATGTACGCACTAACGGTAACGAAGAGATGAAGCTTATGGAAGGTAGAAAGGGTTCAAGGCAGAATTAATTGTTCGTGAGTAAAAGCAGCTACCTGGAATTGATCAATAAAGTATGTTGGTAGACCTGGTACCGCACTTAAACTTTGTACTCATGGCTCTGGCTACATGGCATGCTCTACTGAAGCTTGCGTAAACACATTTTAAAACTGGAGTGTGACTGTCTACCTCTGCTAGATTTAAATCATCGCAGATAATGCTCCTTCTTTCAGTAAAAGGCCGCAGTCGTACTGGAATACTTTGCATCAACCTCCACAATCACTGAGGCAATAGTAGCCTTGTCCGCAGTCGTGACCTTGGCTTGAATCTCTGCCGAGAATACAGTAGCAAAATATTGAAGGAATTGGGGATTCGCCTCCACCATACTGACAACTCAGGCAGAGGTGAAGCCAGGCTTCTATGTCATCTGTCAGACATCTAACCCACAATAGCAAGCAATGTTCGAGAAGCAAGTGAAAACACCGTTATCGACCAGTTTGTCAAGTATGGCAAGAATATCCGGCTTGAGGTCCGTCACAGAGTTTGTGACTCTTGTGCTCGTCGCAGTCGCAAACGTGCTAGAGGCGATGGCATCGTTCATGGCTTGGTTCAGATCATCTTCCATATCGATCTCCTCATCCTGACTAATTTGCAATCGTCCTGTAGAACCCATCGAACGTGACGCTGAGGGCGGCGATGTCGGTTTTTAAACCGTACACGTCGATCGGAACCGTGGCTGCATCGCGTTTCTGCAGGGTTGTAGCCCACGTGCTAGCACCCAGAAGCAGGAAAATAAGTGGGGTTACAGGCATAGTGCCAGAACTGATTTGCTCGGTTTTTATCGTTGAATTGTTTGTTTTTTGGTTTTAGGCCAGGTCTTGCCTCTCCTGGATAAGTACTGCCCTATGGTGTTCTGAAGCAACCTGGAACATATAAGTCATAGTACATGTGTACCTCGCCGTCGGTCTGTATAGGCTTCTTCGGCCGCATGAGGCTGAAGCTGCATGGTGGACGCCCGACACGTACCTCGGCGGATCTAGCGATTTTGGGCACGCAAGTAGCGCTGTCCCCAGATAGGACAAATGCCAAATTAGATTGTATGAGGATAGCCTGACACCTGACACAATCACGCCGGGCAGTCCACACTAGCAAGGGTCCATCGCCGCAGCCGACACCTGGCCGAAGGAACTCGTGGGTTGGGATTTTCCCCTCACGACAGCACCAATCACCGTTGCGTGTTAGTGAGGAGGCTGTCCCAGACATTGAGCTTACTAGCAATTGAAGCACTTAAGTAGGGCTGAGGCCTTGTCTAGGCACCACCTTTGCGCCAGCCATAATATATCGTCCACTGTTCAGATGCGCCTGTATCTGTCCGTGTTGATTCCCTTCCACATCGTTCTACCACTGCTTGGGTAATAATCATGGGTTCTGAGGTAGCCACGGCTACCAGCGCAGATGTTTCTCCTTCCTTTGAGGTACCACGCCCGACAATTGCGACATGGAGGCTGGTGATTATTCTTCTTTGGTGAGACCCAAGAGAGGCATCGTCCCCGCCATGAGTGACGGAGCACTGACCATGAGTTCCCGCAGCATCGCCATCGGACTGTTCTTGTCTTTGATGGATACCACCATTATTTCGACCATGCTATACACCATTTCTGACGAATTCGATGGATTCAAAACTTGCTCGTGGATCGTTCTGGCGTACACCCTGTCCTATGTTGGTGAATCTCCACTTCTTGCTTTGCTCTTCTCGAGGAATCTTCAAGTAATACAAATTCAGGATGCGCTGTATTCATGGCAAGATTATCTGATGTCATTGGCCGGAAATTCCTCCTGTGCATGTGCTTCCTGATCTTCCTCGGCGCGTCGATGGGATGTGCCGCGTCGAAGAATATGAGCCAGCTCATCGGCTTCCGTGCGATGCAGGGAATCGGCGGATCGGGGCTGTACGCGATGGCCATGATTATTTATCCCGAGATCAGCCCCCCTCCTTTACTCCCCGCAATATCTGGCATCATCGGGGTGGTTGTCGCTCTTGCTGGGATTAGCGGACCGTTGATCGGGGGCGCCCTCACGAGTTATCGCACCTGGCGCTGGGGATTCTGGATAAAGTACGTCCTTGCAACAGCTCAAGAGATGCAGATGAAGAAATCTGTCTGATCACCTTGTCTAGCGGCCCATGTGCGTTTGTTCCTCTGGTAACCCTGTTACTCGTGTGGCCCAACGATTTCCATTTCGCGAAGAATGTTCGTTTCCGACACCTTGACTATCTCGGTACACTTCTCATACTTGTCGGATCTGTCCTGTTCGTCTTTATCTTGAATGAAGCAGCCATCAGAGCCTATGCGTGGAACAGCGCGCCGGTGATTATCGTCCTCATCATCTCCGTACTGTCATGGGGAGCGCTCGTCTACTGGCAATGGGTTATCTTATCCAAACCGAGATTCAAGCAGATTCGGCCTCAATTGCCGTTCCGGCTACTGTCAAGCCGTGTCATGGTCGCCGGCTTTGTGTGAGTCTTTTTGGAGGCGATCCCCCGAGAATATTAAATAACACCCCACTGACGGGCCGGCAACAGGAGCACCATCCTGACTGGATTTGTCATGCTTCTGGCCATCGTCAACATCCCCCTGCGCGCACAAATTGTCAATGTGAAGGACGCGGTCGCATCTGGGATTTTGCTCCTCCCGTTAATGGCAGGCACAGCCGTCGGCTCTGCGATCGGCGGGGCCGCGTCTGCGAAGCGAAACAATGCCTTCTGGACGCTGAACCTGGCGAGCATTTTCATGGTGATTGGGTGTGCCTCGCTCTCGACTCTGACGGACTCGGTAGACCCTGCACCGAGGCAGTGGGGACTCGAAGCAATTCTGGGGTTTGGAATCGGGTTGAGTCTCTCTACAATCACGTTTCTTACGACTATGCAGGTTGAATTTCAGGATCATGGTACGTGCGTTCCTTATACTTATCCTCCAATACGTATATCCGGCTGCGGTAGTCAAACAGATATCCCTTGAAACTCGTCGAAATATCAAGAAGGAAAAAAAAAAAATTGATCTTAACCCCTTTATAGCTGTCGCCCAAGGCATCGTCGCCCAACTGCGCATTTTCGGCGGAAGCATCGGCATCGCCTCGGGCTTCATCGTCTTCAACACAGATGTCCAGCACACGCTCACCGGCCTTCTCACACCCGAGCAACTGGATGCATTCTACCGGACCCCCGCCGCAATCTACCGGCTCCCAGTGCAGCAGCAGCTTCTCGTTCGCCAGGTCTATGTTAGCACGTTCAATACCGACATGCGCATCTGTGCGGGTATCGCGGCGGCGTGCCTCGTTGCGACGCTTTGCACGTATCAGCGAAAGCCGCAGTCGATCAGGCAGCGGCTTGCGGATTTAGAGGAGGCGTATGCAAGGACTGAGGCAGCTAGGGGCGAGGGGGCTGCGTGAAGGGTCAAGGTTGAATGGCGACGTGGGAGCGTGTCCCGCTGTGGATGCTAGAGGGGTGGATGTAACAAGGTTAATGTAAAGGAGGAATGGTTGTTGGGAGGCTTCCATTGCATTCCTAGAGCCACGTCGTAGCAAAAATACTTCGCCCCGCCTCCGGGCTCATTAAAAGGAATGAACCATTGGAAATTGACTCGATGTTGAGATGTAGGCAGATATATCACAACAATCACAGAGAAGACTGGAAAGATAGACTATTGGCTATGTCTCCACTAGTTATAAACGCATTCATGAATTTACAATTATAATAAAGTATTATAATACGATGGTGATTTTACCTACCCTCAAATAGTCTCTAAACCTATGAGAATGAAACAGTCTACAATGCTATTAGAAGATACATATACTATCTATCACGAGTATAATCTGAAGATATGTGTCTCTTGCAATTGCACTCTACTCATGCTAGTGAATATTACAATTTTAGGACCCAGAGAATTCCATTATGGTAGCGTCTAATCTCTATGCACATTTACATTTCTTATTCTTTTTCTTTCATTTATCTCTGGGTATGAATCCAGATTGTATGAATCCAGATGATTATCCTCCCAACCAGCCATCAGTCGTAATCACAGACAGGGGTTCTTCCGACTAGACGGACTACGTATCTGACTGGTGCAGTCAAGCCCAGATAAGGAGCTGCAAGGTTTAATATAAAACTAACGTCAACTAGTTGCCTTAGCGTCAGATACAGACACACTTCTGCTGTTGCCTAGGGAAAACCCCTCTCTTCTTTTGATGAGATTGCTTGTGAACCCATCTTTAAAATCCTACACTAAAGTCGTTGAACTTTTGTCGGCTTGGATATTCTAACTTTCACCAATAACAAGGTAACGGTGCACATTGGCTATCGTTCATTAACTAACATGGCAAGCTCTTGCAGCTCTGCAGCTGATAGGACATTTGGGCCGCCGATTCATGGCTGCTCCTACTTGGACTTTACCCTACTCTTTGAGCAGGTGATATTTGGTATAGTCCTATCGGCATGTTTTCTCCCAGCCGTAGCCTGGAGGATACTGCAGCTCCTTGGGCAACCCAGGAAGATTACGTTGGAATCAAACCAGCATGCCAAGGTCTCTATCAGTGTGAAGATCATTCTGGGCCTCGCTTTGAGCTGCAGCCAACTTATTTTATTGATGCTCTGGGCAATGTCTCCTCAGTATCGCAATAAATTCACCATTGCATCGGCCTCCCTATCATTTGTATGCTCCCTCGGCATACCGATTCTGTCATGGAAGGAGCACGTACGATCGGTTTCGCCTTCCAATCTACTTTGTTTTTATCTTCTACTTAGCACATTGTTTGATGGTGTACAGGCCCGGACATTATGGCTACGATTCCCCCCTACTATTGCGGGGACATGTACTGCAGGCCTGGGTGTTCGTTTCTTGTTGCTCATAGCAGAGTCACAAGAGAAACATAAATATCTGAAGCCTCAATTCGTTGATTATTCTCCAGAAAAGTTAGGGGGCATGGTGAATCGTGTCATGTTCTGGTGGCTGAATCCCTTGCTGGCCCGCGGGGCCCGCGGGCTGTTGAATGGCAGCCATCTTTTCCCTATTGATTCCAACCTCTCGGCTGAAGCAGTGCAGGCCAAGTTCGAGTTGGAATGGCTGTCGAGTATGTTACTTCCTCTTTCTTGAGATGAACTGAACCGAGGTATTTAATGACTATGTAGCTCTGAAGGATCGCCATGGAGGCCAACATAAGCTACTGCTGACAACATTGTCTTGCGTTCGACGAACTTTGATGTGGACAGCAATCCCCCGAATTGGTCTCATCGGTCTCAAGATAGCGCAGCCGTTATTTCTTAATTGTGTCATTCGATATCTCTCTGCTTCCACTAAAGACCATGCTGTTGGAGGGGCGCTTGTTGGAGCTACAGTCTTGATCTATCTGGGAACGGCAGTACGCTTCCAACCCTCATCTACCGATCAGAGCCGTGAAGCAAGCTGATGAAAGATCTGTACAGGCCACGACGTCGCTATATATGCATGGGCTAAACCGTGCCATCACTATTGTTCGAAGCCTTTTGGTTACTGCCCTCTACGAGAAGATACAACGACTGGACACTGTTACGGTGAATAATTCAGCTGCGCTAACGTTGATGAGCACCGACACAGAAACCATCTGCAACAGCTTGATGCGATTAGACGCCCTGTTCGCTTCGCCTATCGAGGTCGGCCTTGCCATATTCTTCCTTGCACGACAAGTAAGTTGGGCATGCTTTGCATCGGTTGGATGTGCCTTGGCAGCCGTGTCTCTCAGCTATGTTGTAGCCGCCCGATCACCTCCACGCCAGAGAATATGGAACCAGGCTGTCCAGGAGCGTATCGCAATCACTGCCTCTGTCTTCAATTCAATTAGGAGCATCAAGTTGCTCGGTGCTTCTTCTTTAGTAGCACGGCGAATATGTGACCTCCGCAACGCCGAGCTTGAACGCGCTCAGGGGGCCCGCATGCTTATAATGTGGAGAAATGTTGTTGGTACAACTCTCTCTTATCCATCCCAGCGATGACTCCCAACTAATCGGCATCTATAGCAAATATACCACAGATTGCTGGGCCTATTTTAACATTTACGATTTTCACAATGGTCTCCGGAAGTGGTGTGGTCACTTCAGCAAACTCCTTTACCGACCTCGCCCTGATTGCTTTAGTCACTCAGCCTATCCAAGTCTTTGTTCACGGAATCACCCAGATGGGAGTAGCTCTTGGTTGCTTCAAGCGAATTCAGGACTATCTTATTTTGCCAGAAGTTACGGCCGGCCAAATCTCTTACTCCAGTGACAAGCATCAAGTACCAATCAAACCGCTCTCACCGAGCATGTTTGAGCTAGAAGCCCTCCCCGTGAATGGCAAGTGTCTATCAGTACATAATGCCACCTTCAAATATGCGGACTCCACCACACCGATTTTGACGAACGTGACTGTCGAGATACACTCCTCTACGCTGGCAATTGTCACAGGGGCTACCGGCTCTGGAAAGTCTTCGCTACTCAAAAGCCTCATAGGAGCAGTACCCTGCGTCGCGGGTTCTTACTCAAAGTCAGTGGCAATAGCTTACTGTGCACAAGAGCCGTGGTTGCCAAGTGTTTCTGTTAGGGAATGCGTGACTGGACCTTCCTACTTTGACGAGGAATGGTATACCACTGTTCTCCATGCATGTGCTCTCGACGAAGACATCTCTGCTTTTTCCGAAGGAGACAGGACTTTTGTTGGCTCCGGTGGTACTTCACTAAGCGGTGGGCAGAAGCAGCGCTTGGCAATAGCGAGGGCCATATACTCGCGCAGAAAGCTCCTAATCCTCGACGATGTACTCAGTGCATTAGACGTTATCACAGCCAAGAAGGTTTTTGATCGCGCTTTTGGTCCTAAAGGATTATGCAAAGCCCACAATGCCGCGGTGATTCTTGCTTGCAGTGATCCCAAGCGCATCACTTCACCTGATACGATCATAAACCTTCAAGATGGCACAATCACATCAGGACCCCCATCGGAAGTGCTTCAAGACAAGATTATTTCTATACCGAGTGAGAGCGAAGTCAGACCCACCGAAGAACGAGCTCCTGTAACCACAGGGACGGAGAAAAGATTGATAGAGTCCCGCCACGACCTACCACGCCGACTCGGTGACTTTTCTGTCTACAAATACTACGTAGAATCAATGGGCTGGAAATCCTCCGCTTGCTTCCTAGGCCTCATAGTCGTGCAGGTGTTCGGATCGAAATTCCCTACTCTATGGCTCCAATACTGGTCCGACCATGACTTCAACTACTCCCTCGGTGTTTACCTTGGGGTGTACGGGATTTGTGCTTTCATCCAGCTAATTGGCACCATCCTCAGCATCACATTCCTCATCATCTTCCTCGTCGCGAAAAGCTCCCGCCGCTTACACACACAGCTCCTAACGGCTACCATGAACGCTCGCTATTCATTCTTCACCGCGCACGATAGTGGTACTATCCTGAACAGATTCAGCCAAGACCTTTCCCAAATCGACAATCAACTATCGGGCGCACTTCTCATGACGATCTTCGGCGCTGGAACACTAATCGCCGAAGTTATGCTCATCGCCGCAGGAAACAAATACATCGCTATCACGGTGCCATTCGTGATTACTGTTTTCTACGCTCTGCAGAACTTTTACCTGCGGACTTCACGTCAGCTACGGTTCATGGAACTCGAAGCACAGAGCCCGCTCTACACACACTTCCTTGAGACGGCCTCGGGCACGGACACCATCCGTGCATTTGGCTGGCAAGCCGCATGGGCGGCGCAGTGTCGACAATTGGTTGATACAGCCATCCAGCCGTATTATACAATGTTCTGTATCCAGCGTTGGCTGAACCTCGTCCTCGATCTTATGGCAGCTGGTCTGGCGATAATTGTTGTCACCGTGGCGGTTACGTTAGGTTCATCGGTGCATACTGGTGCGATCGCAGTTTCTTTACTGAATATCTTGGGATTCAGTAGCAGCTTATCGTATCTCATTACTTCGTGGACACAATTGGAGACGACTCTTGGCGCGATCGCCCGCGTCAAGAGTTATGAAGAGACTGTCCCGAGGGAAGATGCCCAAAACAGTGAGCTTATACAACAGCCTGCCCAGGACTGGCCATCTCGCGGCTCGATCAGGCTCGATCACATCTATGCAAGCTACGACGCGCAACAGAGCCCTCATCAATGCATTCTGCGCGATGTTACTCTGTCGATTTACGCCGGAGAAAAGATAGCAGTCTGCGGTAGAAGCGGAAGTGGTAAAAGCTCGCTCATCCTCCTTCTGTTTAGACTTCTTGAACCTATCGCGGGCTCTGTGTTTGTCGACGAGATGGATCTGCGCGATGTTCCCTGCGACGTTCTACGAGCCCGTCTTACAGTTATACCCCAAGATCCACTCATCCTCCCAGGAACACTACGATTCAACCTCGATCCAAGCGGGGAACAATTCTCTGACGATGCAATGCTCTCAGCTCTGGATACTGTAGGTCTAGGGAGGGAACCAAGTACAGGACAGCCTTATTCGCTAGACCTTGAAATCAGTACTTCGACTTTCTCACGCGGCCAATTCCAGCTGTTAAGTTTAGCGAGAGCGTTACTTCGGCAGAGAGAAACGAAGATACTTGTTATTGACGAAATCAGTGGGAATGTTGATATCGCTACAGAGCGGTTGATGTTCCAGATCATCGGAGACTATTTCGCACATGCCACCGTCATTGCAGTGACACATCGGTTGAGATGTATTCGGGACTTTGATCAAGTTGTGATTATGCAAAATGGCTGTGTTGTGGAGACTGGGAAGCCGGGGGGTTTGCTTGTTGGGAGGAGTTTGTTCAAGCAATTGTGGGACGAGCAGTGAAAATTTCGCGGATTTTGAAGTTGATATAGCGGAGAGTAGTTTTCTTAAACAATACCTGGACTGCACAGTTATGCGCTCATCGATACTATCTATAAGAGAGATAAAGCAAGGTAGATTCCACGAGACGTGCAGCTCCAACGACTTACTCCTACTTTCGCAGAATCCAGGCCTTATCAGCTAACGATAAGCTGTATAACTATGATAAGGTGGGAGTATTAATCGGCAACCCATATGCCGATTAGTTAATCATATTCCTTACTAGCGTTCTAGGATCCAGCTTCGCAACATGCTTGACAGTCTTAATGCACGAGCAGACAAGGTGAGTGGGGATATAGGGGGCAATGGTCTAGTAGTTAAGCTCCCATCGAGATGCATAGAAAACTATCATGTTATATCACCCGCTCGCTCATCCTCCTCGAGCGGGGGTAGATATAAGATGACAGGTATAGAATTACACTACTAACATAGTAACTCGAGATTCCATCTAAGCTCTCTCTGAGAAACTGTGTCTTAAGCTTGCTCATCAAATATTCAAGAGATTTGAGTCGCAGTTGCTTCATCCAATATAGTGAACAATCTACACATCATTAGTTGTACAAATGACCCTAAATCCGCCGTGAAACGTGGATGTTATGAAGGCCAGCTAAATAAATTAACTAACAGATCCTGGTGGAAATAGTGTAATCTGCTAAGATATTCACATGTGCGATATCAACACCTGTAGGCAGTACCATAATTCGCATATGCGGCGGCTATTGTTGCCTAAATCGTGGCGGAGATGTTCCTTGCTTGTTTGCACACGATCTTATTTAGTTTTCTGATTGTAGGTGTCTAGCAGTACTATAGTTAATGTAGTAGCATATCATAGATGTCCTTATCTTTGAGTCATGCATGAGTCAACCCCAGATACTAGGGAATTCTACGTAGTGGGCAAAGGTAAGCAAGACATGTACTGATAAACACGCTCATCAAATGGAATGAAATGCCAGGCAGACACAGTCGAAGCTCTACTGAAGTATCATTTCACGTACCACACAACAACTCATAGCGCCAATAAGGTACTGCTGGGTATAAATAGTGAGTTTCGGCACCCTCCAGGAGTCTAGTATTGAATGGGCCAAAGTTAGTAATCCTTGCCTACTTAGTACGACTTCTTTGGTAGTAGCAGCCATCATCTAATTACTAACGATACACTAGTATACCATTATACCAGCCCCCCGCAACCATGAAAGTGACTCTTACACTCAAACGACCCCCATCCGCTGAAGACATTACCTACCTTCATGAGTCCCTCAAAGCCATTCATCCAGAAGTCACCGAAACCTCGCGCGAAGGACTCAGAATATGTTTCGCGGCACCTACGATGGATACTGAGGCTTTTGTGGATTTGTTTCTTTCATGGCTTCATTCTTCTTCGCCGGATGTGATTATGGAGGGGTATGCTCTGGTTTCTGATATTTAGTCTTTCTATCTTTCTTGGTATTATTATTTTGATTGCCGTTCGCTGTATTTGACTGTAGTTTTGGTGCCGTTCTCACTGAGGACAATATAGTATCTGCCATGGTTTGTCGCACACAAGTAAATGTAGCAAACAGGGTGATGTGGATTCACTAAACCAGAACCTGGGTGCCAGCAGATTGTCTAATTACTAAATAGTAGAACTAGGGGATTACAGGGAACTAGTGTAGCGGTTAGTAGATTCACATGTGGGAGAACTATCGCCTGTGGACAGCTTTTACAGCCCTGTTGCTTTGTAGCCGCGGCATCGTCAGCAGAAAATCCCTTGTGCTGCTCAGTTAGCCTATCTTTAATAATAGATGAAAGGTTCTGAGTGAGTAACCTTCACACCGAGTCAACACTGGGTAAATTCCGCATATGATGCAATGCTCTGCCATAGCCTTGATCCTATGACATTGTTATGCGACGGTTAACCTCGGAAAAGCATGCCCCAGCCTTGCTCATGAGGCTCTAAATGAATAGATAGTGGCAGGGCACAAACACTGCCCGCCTAGGCAACATACTTAGTAACGTAGTCGAAAGATCGGCTCGGACGAACTGCGACGAATCTTGGATAGTCTAATGGACGCTAGACGATGGACTTGGGACTTGGGAGGGTATCCCGCGATGCAAGCCGCGGACTGGGGACGGTGTCTTGTAGCGACCCCACCAAGGCGGGATAGAGTGGAGCCGTTGATTGGGGCAACACGACGTGCTTTCTCCACGGCCCTTTCCGTGGATGAGAAAAATAGATCAATCGAGAAGGCCAGCTGAGTTGCGTTGAGCTGCAAAAGGCTGGGATCGATATTGTTGTTACGTCAGCTTGTGACTTGGCGGGCACGAGAAGTGAGCAAGCGAGCAATCCATTGAGCTGTCTCCGTCGCTTTTTGCATTCGCAGCTCAAGTCCGTCGAAGTTAGGTGCATATCGGTCGAATAGTAGAAACTCAAGGCTGCGGGCACACGCAAAGGGGGGGGATTTTCTAACGTATCCAATTGCCTGAACCTACTTTGTCAACAGCCCCCGATCATCGTAGAGCTTAAACTGGGATGGGCATGATTTGCGAAGAGGATACTGTGAGGCTGTCCGTCTCCTTAAAAATAATCCCCTGAAAAGCCCACAGATCACAGTATCTTAGCGCTGGGGGTCTCAGAGATTATCTATCTATAACCCCTATATCAGTTAGAGTATATGGAGTACGGGGTAGGGTTGCACATGGTAGTTAGAAACTTGACAGCCTACAGTTAACGGTTGCGACACATGCTCATGGCGGCTCTGATTGAGTAACCCCACACAAAAGGCCTCATGCAGTAATCAGCCCATGACTTGCGCCGAAGCCAATAAGATAGTTCATCGTGGCTACTGCAGTAATATGTACGACAGAGGCCTGTGTTCGCGTCGCCAAAGTAACGTCAGGAGAGGCAGGTCGGGCGTTTGCAGCCTCCCGGTAAGTTGTTCAGCCCGCTTGTGATCATCGGGATCATCGTGGGAAGGGAAACGCTGTCGGGAAGCAGAGCTGCACCGCCTCAGGCGGGACTTGTTACTAAGTGACTTGCCCAGTCCCTGTGCAACTTCTTGTCTCAGAATCAAGGGATTGGGGGCCAGGCCCCCCCGGGGTTGAGTTCTCTCGCTTCAGGAGAGTAAAACAATTTTCATACAGAGTACCAAGGAAATAAAACATGTGGGAATGAATGAGAGGGAAAGGCTTAGCACTGATCACATCGCAATTTATAGAAGCTGGCCATCAAACCACCAAGGGATGGCGACGGGTAGGGAGTTTCTAAGCCAATAAGAGCGATCAGGATGTGAGTACCGCCAACCGACCGGGGAAAGATCGGCCAGCGACAAGTGTTTCAGCCACGAACAACCAGGGAATCTTCGCGATCGCCGCGTCATGCGTTGATGTTGCCCTCGACTCTCTTTCCTTTCTCCCCCATGCACGGCCCCATTCAGGGTCGACACTCCCCTGACGACTGCAGCTCAGCTATATTACGCACACAATGGACGCCATCAAAGTGCGCCCGTCCCCTTCGGCGCTTTCTCCACCTCTTCCCCTTGACCTGGGTGCGACTGCCCTTACAATGCGATCCATTTCCTCCCAGATTCATCTCTCTTCGTCTGCCCTTTCGCGATGGCGCTCTCCGGTTGCTCTCGCTGGCGCCTCCGACAAAGCTATCATCTCTGCCTCTTCTACATCACAGGCTTTCTGAGTTTTTTGTGCATCATCATCATCTGGTATTGCGTCAATACCGATCGCGACTATGTTCACCCACTGTTGACCCAGTTGATCCCCGCCGGACACTGCGCCTGTCAAACCTCCACCACCTTCCAGTGCGCCAGCTGTCTGACATGTTCGCATCCGGACCTGGTGCAACAACTGTCCCCAGCTCCGGCGTGGGAATTTCAACCTGCTCGAGACGGCAGCAATGAAGGCCTCGATCGTGCCCAGTGTACGAATGCATTCCCGGGTCTTTTCGAAGATGTTGTTCGCGCCACGGGCTTTTGGAAGTCTCAGGGTGCGCTGGCTATGGAGGACTTGGACGAGATCCCTCTAGCATATGGCATGGCGCGGGCTTTTATCCACGCCGGTGAGCTTTATGTGGTTGCGGCGCGGTCCAAAGGTGAAGACCATCGACGTAAGATCATCGCCGTATTGAGTTCAATTCACCGGGCGTTAGTCGCCGATGCCAACCGTACCTCGCAACGAGATATCGAGTTTGTGTTCTCCGTGGAGGACAAGGTAGAAGACGTGACTAACTCCGACCATCCTGTCTGGACTTTGGCACGATCCGCCACAGAGGAGGCCGTCTGGCTGATGCCTGACTTCGGGTTCTGGGCCTGGGAGAATATTCAGAATTCGATCGGGCCGTACGACCAAGTTGTCAACCGCATTAAACGCGCGGATATCCCTTGGTCAGAGAAGAAACCGCAGCTGGTATGGCGAGGAAAGCCTAGCTTCGCCCCCAAATTGCGCCGCGCCTTGATGGAAGCTGCGCGAGATCAGCCATGGGGGGATGTGAAGCAGGTCGACTGGGATCAGAGGACGAACATAATACCCATGGAGGATCATTGTCAGTATATGTTCATCGCTCATGTCGAAGGTAAGCTTTCCCTCTTAATGCTGGCAATGTCCGACCGCATCTGTACTGACTGGGATGTGTAATGCAGGTCGCTCGTATTCTGCGTCACTGAAGTACCGGCAAGCATGCAACTCGGTCATTGTGGCGCATAAGCTGCAGTATATCCAGCACCACCACTACCTTCTCGTACCAGACGGGCCGCAGCAGAATTATGTCGAAGTTGAGCGGGATTTCAGCGACTTATCAGACAAGCTCGAACCTCTGTTAGCCGACCCCAGTCTTGCGGAGCGGATTGCCAACAACAGCGTGCGAACCTTCCGCGAGCGGTACCTGACCAAAGCGGCCGAGGCCTGTTACTGGCGCAGACTTTTCGAGGGGTATGGCAGCGTTTGGAACAGCAGCGTCCCCGTGTGGTCCGAAGCGTACCAGCGCGAACGTGGCCTCCGATACGAGTCGTTTCTCCTGATGGATAGCCAGCTGATGTTTGAGTTCGACGCGCTGAGATTGTCTTATTGATACCACAATCAACCACGCATGACATTATGGGTATAGACTATTTCCTTGGAGCATGGTGTTTGAAGGAGTTAAACAGAAGAGGTTCTTTATTCAACATTCACAGTCCCCTGTATGGCGATACTTTCGTTTGAGATACCACTGGGCGGGTGCCATTTTTGATTGATAGACCAGATGTATGAATAGTGCTGGCGATGACAGTCAGATGCAGGTTTCATAGGCGAGCTAAATTATCGAATGCATGTTGATCCATTAGTTGTGCTGTCATGGCGCCGATCAGGACCCCGACCCCGTATTCCCATGTAGTGCAAGTAATCGGTGAGCTCTTTCGGCTTTTCTATCCGACAGGTCGCCATCATGGTGCATCCACAAATTTTCTAGGGATCAGCATGGTATTGCCAGGTCATCTCAAAGAAACTCTGCAGGTATGGAGATGATGATATGGTGAGGAAAAAACAGCCGAGCTGAGCTGCGCGCGAGTGAGTGAGTCTCCCGGGCGGGGAAGAGTGACACCTCTCAAAACTTTGGCTTGTCTCACTTCCCAACCACCAGCACCACCATCACCCAGTTCAGCTCTTCCTTCTGCCGGATTGGCTTATCTCTGACGATCTCGGCTAGTTTTCGCGCCCACTTAGGCCGCGATTCTGCAGAACCCCAAGAGACTAAAGCATGCCATCGAGTCAGTGGAAGGGAGTGATTGCCTGCGAGGGTTCACATCCTCATTGATCGGCTTTGCCATCCAGCCAGCTGGGTATGCCTGACCAACAACCAGCATGTGTAACCTCACGTCAATTCTTGCTCCTGTCAGCGCTGGCACTCGACGCCACCAAACCAAAGGGATGTCACTCACAATCTCTGGCACTGGCATTCAATGGAGGAAGACCGAAGAGTGGAGATCGGATCAGCTCCTCGGGTACCGGGACGGCACCAGACAATCGAGTAAACAAATCCATTCATTGATCTTAGTGTTGTTCCAAGAACACTTTTTGTCCTTCTGCTTCTCGACTGACTTCTCCTTTCATAATCAATCACTGACTTCCATTGGTTCTCCTAGAAGAACGATGCCCTTAGACAGTACACCGCCAGCCCCTTTTCAAGTTTTAACTTTTTTCACTTTCCGAGTGTCCCGCTGACAATTGGTCCACCGTGAGTGGCATTCCTGCCGTCGCGTCAAGCAAGGAAGCTCACTCTGTTCCCCACGAACCATGATCTGTGCGGCGATCGGCTCCTCGTATGGAACGCCTGGACCACTGAGATTGCGACGGTGGAGCTCCCAAGGGAGCGGACAGCCAACTATCGGAGGGATCTTCGGCGAGATTCAGCTCAGATGAGATTTGCAGCCACACACATTCGTGCAGACTATCCATAATAGCGACCGCCTGGATGGAGGTCGCACGGGCGAGAGAAGACAGGCTGCAGGGGCGCACGTTCGCGTTGAGAATGGTGGGTTTAGACTATAAAAGCTAGGACTGCTGTCCTGGGCTCTGACTGCTCTTCTGCTTCTAATCCCTTTGTCTCCCCAAATCTCTTAACCATGCCGTCACCAATTCCCAAGCCCCCCGGGGTGTTCCTCCTCGGCAACGTGAAGGATGTGAATGCTGCGAACCCTTGGAACTCATTCAACAAGCTCGCGGCCAAGTACCGTAAGTCTTCTCGTGTTTCTCACTCAGTTTTATCGCTGATGTGGTTCCGATTCGCTTCGCAGGTCCCATCTGCAAAGTCACCATCCTAGGCGTAGACATCGTCTTGATCACGGGAGCCGCCCTTCTCGAAGAAATCTGCGATGAGACCCGCTTTCAGAAATGTGTGGCCGGTCCCATCATTGAAATTCGCGAGGCAGTACACTCTAGCTTGTTCACTGCAAAGATAAATGAAAAAGAAATGAGCCAGTGGGGAGTCGCTCATCGCATTATGGCGCCCCTGCTCACACCGGGGGCCGTTGACCAGGTCTTCGCGGATATGCGAGAGGTATCAACAGATCTGATCAAGAAATGGACCGCCGGCCCCCGCCAGCGCGTCAGCGTCACCAACGACCTGGATCGCCTCAACCACGCGGCCAACATGCTCTGCTTCTTCGACCAGCGCCTACACTGCTTGGAAGGCCCAGAGCCGTCTCTCATCAAAGCCATGGAGAACGCCACTACAGAGGCCGTTCGTCGAGCATCCCGACTCAAACTCGTCAACTGGCTTTTCTACCAGCGCAAATTCAATGCTTACAACAAGACTCTGCGCGACTACTCCGCCAGTTGCGTCGAATACCGACGCGCTCACCCATCCGCCAAGAAGGACATGCTGTATGCTCTTATGGAGGGCAAGGACCCCGAGACCGGCGAAGGACTAAACGACGAACAAATCGTTGACGAGATCATCAACGTATTCATCGGTAGCGCGACAGCCCCCAACCTCGTCGCCTTCGGCCTTTACTACCTCATGAAGAATCCGCATGTGATCAAACGCGCCCGGGAGGAGATTGACGCTGTTGTCGGCGGCCCCGGTGCGAAAATCGAACACGAGCACCTCTCCCGCCTCCCTTACTGCCTTGCCATTGCCCAAGAAACCATGCGCCTTGCCGCCCCAGCCCCCGGCTTCAACCGCGAAGCCATCCAAGACCAGGACGGCCCGGTTCTACTCGCCGGCGGCGAGTACGAAGTGCCGCGCAAACAGGCTCTCATCGCAGTCCTGTACGGTGTCAACCGCGACCCCGCTGTCTTCGAAGACCCCGACGCATTCAAGCCAGAGCGCATGATGGGCGAAGCATACGAAAAGCTACCCTCCGCGGTAAAGAAGGGCTTCGGTAACGGCAAGCGTGTTTGCATTGGAAAGAAGTACGCTTGGGAATGGTCGTACTTCACCCTCGTCAGCATCCTCAAGGATGTCGAGTTCGAACTCGCTGACAAGAACTATGTCACTGATGGTGCGGGTAACAATTACAATGGCGCGTTCACCGTGAAACCGTTGGACTTCTTCGCCATTACTGGTCCACGCCCGAGAGCGGGCTGAGCTTTTTGCTTTTTCTTCGGTACATATAATATTCCGCATGTTTTTGCTTCCTTCATATGCCTGTCTATGATATCCAGAATGCGTGATTATGTGTAATCTATGAAGTTGATGTTCTTGACTCGAATAGCTTCCACTCGTGAGACTGGGAGGTTAATAAATGTGACTGCGTGTCTTGGTGACTAGTAATATACACATATTAAGATAATATGCACCTTTAATCATACAATATCTGCCCCTTTACTCCTAAAGTACTGTTATCTAGGTATTTTCCTTTCGAAGCATGTAGTTACCTTCAATACGCCCTTTGCTTCGTTGAAGCTCACGTGACATCGTAGTAATCCAGTCTGTCTATATTGCGAATTTCACCAGGCTTGTTTGTTGCTTCTTTATTGCTCTAGCTTATCTTATTGGGGTTCATTGAAGTCATAAGCACGAAGCGAAGAACAGGAATTGTAATACGGCAGTTGTGGAAAGCAAGATGCCCATCCTGCATGACTGGGCGTCACGGCTCCCTACACACATGCACTGTATCCAAGGCAGTCTACGCAATCTATCCCTCATGGGTATTATTACTCTAGTGCATAGACCTGAAAGTGGAGATGCAGTGGTAATATGAGCATCTATACATGGCATCTTTAGTTTTATTGATGGGGAGAAGGGTAAGATGGGCCGAGGTAAGGGACCCCAGACCATGCATGAAATGAGATTATCTTAAGAATCACCATATAGATCTAGACCCTCTGTTCAAGATAGACAAAATAGCTATTGACGCGCTAAGCGTCACTGGCAACACTATAACTGCGCTTAGTCCTCTTTTACGCGTAAGAGGCTCGGATACACCGCAGGGATCAGTGGCAATCTAGATCTTGAAGAAAGCTGTTCGCGCCACTGTAGCCTTAAGGCGACGGGTATAGTAGTAGCCGTTTGCTGCAGTGTTCTTTGGTAACGTTAAACAACTTCCCAAGGCTCCGGATGTTTGTGTGTGCGCGCGCCGGTCGAATAAACAGACTAGGTCCTTATGTTATCATTGCATCACTATTCCGCTTGATATCAGATATGCCGGTGACACACTGACTATGACTGCAGCATGGTAGTGGCAGAAGGAAACTGAAAAGCCCCGGAAGCTTATAGGTTCGTGCGAGCTGAGGAGCTGTTGTGTAGTTAGAACTTACTAGGTGGAAGGCGTACACTGTGTGGATTGAGGAAGCTCTAGATCGCATATATATATTTGTTCCAACGTCACCTCAGTCTGTTACTCATATATTGCAACAAAGCTTACAGAGCTCATCCCTGACCATTGCAGGGGCTATGCATTTCATTGAGTTGTTATGATGGCCTGGGCTTCATATTGCTTGCAGAAACAGGCTCATCTGGCTGGGTTGGAAATGATCGAACGTTTTGTTGCTAAATGGCACCCTTCGATTTAGAGTTCTGATGGATGTTGGCGTTTTCAAGGTTGGATGATAGTTAAGTTTGGTCAATTCTGTATGTCTATACGTAAGACACATCAGCTATGCGGATTCATGGAATCTCACAGGGACACGCGAACTTTGTTTTATCGTGCACGGCCTCCCATCCGGTCGCTTCGGGTCGGTATGATGGAAAGAAACACGGTACCGATATTTTAGGGACAGCTCACTTACTGACCTGATTATAGGAGGTTCATTTCAATTTTTGTCATGAGCGAGATCGTTTGCATCACTCCCTGGTGGGAGACACCATAGTAGGGCAGCACATCATCCGGGTGCCAAAAGGCAAGCTTCCCACGGTACTGTCAACAAATCGGAACGGAACCATGATGATGGTTAGTCTCTCTAGTGGGTCAGGTCATATTCTTTCAAAGAACACATTTTTAGCTGATCGAGTCCTCTGGGACGTTGGGTCTCTGATCGTTTAATCGGAAGCACCGGTGCTTGTATCTTGGCAGTTCTGCTATGCCGCATCCCCTAAATAGAGTAACATAGCCAGGTCAAGCTATTACCGCCATCAAAATGAGAGAAAAG